TTTTTGGAATTGATTTTGTAAACATCGATGATGTGAATATTCACATTATTGTTCATTACTGGATAAACTGACATTAGTAGACACTAATGTGAACATTCACATCAGTGTATAATAATGTGAATGTTCACATTACTGTTAATTTCTCAATCAGTCATATTATGTTGTTGTTCACATTACATTATGAACATAATGTTAATATTCACATTGTAACATTCTAAACATAATTTTAATATTTACGTTCTGAACATAATGTTAATATTCACATTTTCACATTCATATTGAATATTCATACCATATATTTGGTTGTGAACATTCACATTCAAACATATAAGTGCAATGATGCGAAGATTAATATCGTGTATACATCGTGTTAGTTTAATAGTTGTAATGTGTGACTGTTGCCACCTCTTCATGTGAATTTTGGTTTGTCATTTGGTATCACCTCTTCATCTGAATATTTGCACCAGCTATTCACATATTATTTCACCATCATAATCTCATTATTCACATGGCATACTATTTACACTTATTATCACTATTCATTTGTGAACAGTAATATTACATATGTTCTTATTCGAACAAACAGGTCTTCCCCGTAGATTTGATGGCAAAAGAAAGAGAGAGGAATCGCGTACCAAAGGCAAACCCGATCAAACAGCTAGTCCCGAACAAGTGAACATGAAAAAGGTCAACTACCGGTCAAATATCACTGGATTGGTAAAACTATTGAAGGCTACAAAATTTACAAATGGTCAATTGAAATGCCTTAGGAAAACACCATTTTAGCCCTTATTTAATTGTTTGATCAGTAATGAAGTCGACCTCAACCATTGCATCAAATACGATGATGTTATTGTACGTATAGTGCAGACACTCAAGCCATCCAGTGGGAGGTTTTACATTGGGGACAAGAGCATTCAGATTATTAGAAGTGATGTATCACTTATTTATGGGGTGGACTGCGGCACCAAGCTAATGGACCTCTCTTATGGTGCAAAACCAACGACCAGCATCATACACGGAATGTGCAAGGATGTTAGTTGGTTAAATGCCAGAAAAACACGTGAAATTCTAAACGAAGCATTAAAGGGCACAAAGAAACAAGACAATGAAGAGGTTGCAAGATTAGTTTGCATGTATACATGCGTCAAACTGTTCTTTTCCATGTCCGGAGAAACAATTGGATGGGCATTCTACTCATACATGGACCCATTAAACAACATGATCAAGTATGACTGGGCTGAGAGCATTCGGGCAACCCTGATGGGGTCAGTGGGCCAAAACTGGGGAAAACTAGGACGAGTCATCGGATGTGTTATGTTGTTAATGGTAAATCTCATAAATCTTATTCTATATTTAATATGAACATTTACGGGGTCTATGAACTCATATTGTTAGCAAAACAAATGTGACATACACATCAGTATGCACTGGTGGCAAGGTTGGCATAAGTGCACACCAATGTGAATGTTCACGACAGTGTGGAATGTTAGGAACATTCGCATCAATATGTATTCATATAAACATTGACACCAGTGTTTTGCTCATGTTAGCACCAAAACAAATGTGGAACATACATTACTATGCAATGGTGTGGAAGTTCACATCAGTGATGTGAAAATTCACATTACTGTTTAGTAATGGATAAACACACATTAGTAGACACTGGTGTAAACATTCACATCAGTGTTTATTGATGTGAATGTTCACATTACTGTTAATTTCTCAATCAGTCATATTATGTTGTTGTTCACATTACATTATGAACATAATGTTAATATTCACATTGTAACATTCTAAACATAATTTTAATATTTACGTTCTGAACATAATGTTAATATTCACATTTTCACATTCATATTGAATATTCATACCATATATTTGGCTGTGAACATTCACATTCAAGCATATAAGTGTAATGTTGTGAAGATTAATATTGTGTATACATCGTGTTGGTTTAATAGTTGTAATGTGTGACTGTTGTCACCTCTTCATGTGAATTTTGGTTTGTCATGTGGTATCACCTCTTCATCTGAATATTTGCACCAGCTATTCACATATTATTTCACCATCATAATCCCATTATTCACATGGCATACTATTTACACTTATTATCACTATTCATTTGTGAACAATAATATTACATATGTTCTTATTTGAACAAACAGGTCCTCCCCGTAGATTTGATGGCAAAAGAAAGAGAGAGGAATCGCATACCAAAGGCAAACCTAATCAAACAGCTAGTCCCGAACAAGTGAACATGAAAAAGGTCAACTACCGGTCAAATATCACTGGATTGGTGAAACTATTGAAGGCTACAAAATTTATAAATGGTCAATTGAAATGCCTTAGGAAAACACCATTTTGGCCCTTATTTGATTGTTTGATCAGTAATGAAGTCGACCTCAACCATTGCATGAAATACGATGATGTCATTGTACGTATAGTGCAGACATTCAAGCCATCCAGTGAGAGGTTTTACATCGGAGACAAGAGCATTTAGATTATTAGAAGTGATGTATCACTTATTTTTGGGGTGAACTACGGCACCAAGCCAATGGACCTCTCTTATGGTGCAAAACCAACAACCGGCATCATACACCGAATGTGCAAGGATGTTAGTCGGTTAAGAGCCGAAAAAATACGTGAAATTCTAAATGAAGCATTAAAGGGCACAAAGAAACAAGACAATGAAGAGGTTGCAAGATTAGTTTGCATGTATGCATGCGTCAAATTGTTTTTTTCCACGTCTGGAGAAACAATTGGTTGGGCATTCTACTCATACATGGACCCATTAAACAACATGATCGAGTATGACTGGTTTGAGAGCATTCGGGCAACCCTGATGGGGTCAGGGGGCCAAAATTGGAGAAAATTAGGACGAGTCATCGGATGTGTTATGTTGTTAATGGTAAATCTCATAAATCTTATTCTATATCTAATATGAACATTTACGGGGTCTGTCCACTCGTATTGTCAACAAAACAAATGTGACATACACATCAGTACGCACTGGTGGCAAGGTTGACATAAGTACACACTAATGTGAATGTTCACGACAGTGTGGAATGTTAGCAACATTCACATCAATGTGTATTCATAAAAACATTAACACCGGTGTTGTGCTCATGTTAGCACCAAAACAAATGTGGAACATACATTACTATGCAATGGTGTGGAAGTTCACATCAGTGATGTGAACATTCACATTACTGTTCAGTAATGGATAAACACATATTAGTAGACACTGGTGTAAACATTCACATCAGTGTTTATTGGTGTGAATGTTCACATTACTGTTAATTTCTCAATCAGTCATATTATGTTGTTCACATCAATGTGCATTGATGTAAACATTGACACTAGTGTTTTCCTCATGTTAGCACCAAAACAAATGTGGAACACACATTACTAGGCAATGGTGTGGAAGTTGACATCAATGATGTGAACATTCACATTACTGTTCAGTAATGGATAAACACACATTACTAGTCACTGCTGTAAACATTCACATCAGTGTTAATTGATGTGAACATTCACATTACTGATGTTTGTATTTGTTTCAGTACTGGTTGTGTGAGCATACAACAATCTTGCAACCCCGCAACCCTAATGCCATTTCGCGGTATGTGAAGTGGGACCTCACAGCCTTACATACCAACATGAAGTCCATATCTTTTGCGAAGCTTGGTTTAAATGAGGTAGAAGTACAACAAAAAATGTTGTGCCCATTCACATATTAAGACAATGAACTATGTAACTAACATAATGTCTCCAACTGCAGGTATATGGCGGTGAGCTGATCGCATCCCTAACTGAAGCAAAGATGTACCATCATACCAAATTGAATGTGGAGCCCAAACCTGAGGTTTTGTCGAGTGCACCAGCAAAGCAAGATGAAAGCAATGACGATGAAAGCAAAGACAATCAAGGTAGTGACGACAGCGATGGAATTTCTGGTGATGCAATGGACCTAAATGATGTTGAACATGACATCAACACCAGCTTTAGCGACCCCAATGCTGAGAGAGGTATCATTATGGCATAATCAAGTGAGCCGGACATTATGGATGTACTTATAAAAGAAAACCAAAAAGCTTGGGGTCTTGTATGACAATGGGAAACAAAATACAAATAGTTTGAAGAATCGTGAGAGTTAAGGGCAAGGGTGATTGCTGCCCTTGAAGCCAAATTATTTGATCAATCGGGCCCATCCAATATGGACATGGACATCAAGAATTGCATGGAGTGGAAAGATACAGAAATTTAGCGGTTGACAAAATTGGTCATCAACTTGGAATGTGAAAAAACAATTCTTGAAGACCTTTATGATGATCAGTCCGTCCACATTATCACTCAAGTCGAAGCACAAAAGGCTCATAACAGCGTTAAGAAGCATCCCATTGCAGCATTGGAACACATTCTCAACCCACCATCTACGGTAAAGCGCATCAAGCAAAAGGTAAGGAAAGAGCACTGGTTGAATGAGTTTCAATACCCCAACTTGCCTGGTCAAAAGAAAGGAAAATAGGGAGCTAAAGAGCAATCACATGCAGTCCAAATTGTACCAAATTTAGACAAACATCCACAAAAAAAGCACCCAACAAAGTACAAGAAGTTAACCTTGAACAACAAATTGAAGGTTTGGACCAACATGAGCAAACTCAACAAGCAGAAGGTCCAAAATTTGCACAAGAACGGCGGTGATGAGTAAGTGATCATACATATTCAGACTGAATTTATTTTTATGCTGATGTTAAGCTTCACATATGTACTTAATAGATTAGATCATTTCATAAATGTGCAATGTTGACATTAACGTTTTTTGTAATCCCAATGCACAGGTTGCTTGTGTGGCGAGGGGACTCAAAAACTAGAGATGTGTATCTTGATGACATCATACACATCATCAAGGAAGAATCAATACACAACTACGTATGGCAATCGTAAATGTGTACAAAACGCGCACGCGCGCGCACACACACACACACACACATACACACTGTAAATAATGTACTGCCACCCCTCTGTTTGTGCAGGTGATAGATGCATATGGTGAAATTCTACTCGAACTACAAGGGCTATTCAACCCAAGTTTGGAGGATTTGGCATTCATCTTTACAAGCACATGTTTGGTAACCACTACACTTTTGGTTTATTTATGTTTGATGTTGATGAGAATGTTTACATGAACAGTATTGATTTGTATGTTCAATAAATGTGAATGTTCATCTCAACATTATATGCTTATATTGTTAACTTAAATGATAGACACATGTGAATGTTAACAACAACATAATATGACAGGTCTGAACATTCACATTGACAGATGTGAACATTCATATCATTTACAGTGAACATTATATGATTATATTGTTAACTTAAATGATAGACAGATGTGAATGTTAACAACAACATAATATGACAGGTCTGAACATTCACATTGACATATATGAACATTAACATTATTCGCAGTGAACATTATATGCTTATTATATTGTTAACTTAAATGATAGACATATGTGAATGTTAACAACAACATAATATGACAAGTGTGAACATTCACATCTGTAATACATTGCATGACTGTTTGACAAATTAACAAATGTGAACATTCACATCATTCACATTGAACATTGATATAAATACTTGGTACATCATTGTATGCCCTTTGTGTGTAGAAAGTCATGCAAGAGTACCCCCCCTCCACAAGAGAAATAAATTGATTGATGTACATATCAAGGACTATCAAGGCCAGAGATACTTCATCTTCCCAATACACGACAATTTCCACTGGACGATTGTTGTGTACGACGTGAAAGACAATCTATGGAGGCATTATAACTCGCTACGACCAAGACCCAGCATACATGACCCATATATTGACAAAACACAAATAGTAGTAAGTGGCTGACACATATAATACTTGTCATGATGTGTAATATTTGAACTTGGACGTATGCACTATGTTGCTTGGTGCCTAATATGAAATTTCATTGTTGGCAGAGGGACTACATCGAGGCTTTGGTGCGCAACATCGGACCATCATCACCATTATGGACCAAATTATCAGGCCAAAATACTTCGCAACCAATCATATTAGTAGACAACTGTCCTCAACAAGCATCAGATTCGTAAGCCTAAAATCAATTTGTACACATCTTCCACAACCATTACACACCTAAATTTCAAAATCTAATACGAAGTTTGCATTTTTAGGGTGGATTGCGGGCCTACAAGTTGTTACATCATGAGGGCGCATGTATACTGTGAAGAAATTGTTGACAACCTAAATCGCTTTGAATGGTGTCAAATAAGAGACTCATTACTACACCTTTTTCTAAATCACAGAAAGACAGTGCAATGTGAAAACCTATAGGTGGGGGGTGTCCACCTATCACTGTTATCCAAAATTGTTATCCACATTTAAGACAATTTAGTGTCAATAGATTTGACATATTGGAGCAGACTAGCTTAATTGTAAATCAATTCTATATCACTACTTGTACTGCTATTTTTCAGTCAATATATGTATATACATTTTGAGGCCTATTTTGTGTTGGTCATGCACATTGAGATTGTATTTTTTTTTTTTTTTTGACACACGACATGATGTGAATTTCCACATCACAGAATGATCATATACATTTTTATGTTTTAAAGCCCTACTTCATGGATGCGAATATTGCTTAAAGTGTTATTGTAATACAATATGACAGGTGTGAGTATGATATTTCTTAACACATAAGTCAATATTTATAGCTAATAATTTAATGATGTGAATATTCACATCGTAACTTTTGATGATGTAAATGGCAGCAACGATGTCAATATTCACACCACGCCCATGCATGCATCATAATATACACAATAACATCTAATTTTTGCTAGCAACAAACACTGACAATAACATTTCGTAATACATATATGAATATTCACATCTTCTGAGTTGATGATGTGAATGGTTACATTGATGTAAATGTTCATGCCATCTACTTTGATGCTGTCAACGGTAATAAGAATGTGAATTTTCACACCACAGTAATGTTTAAAGTTTAACCCATGTGCAATTATTCACAAAATGTGATTATCTTACACAAGTGTGAATGTTAACATCATGTATTCATCCTTAACACAACAACAAAAATGTCAGATTGGTACCTTAAAAAATTAAAAATAAAACACAAATCAAATACTAATGCATTATTATGTTTGCCAACGCAACGTAATCTTATTGCAACACACTGTTTGCTAACATAACACAATCTTATTTCAAAAATCAATATAAGAATCTCATGTAAAACACAACGTTGAAATGAAAAAATGTACACCCTATATCGGCTCCTTACATGATTTCCGATTGTAGCTTCCTAACTTATCACATCTCCCACACCTTATTTGCTTCAATTTCTCACCCCTTGATGGGATTCTATTCTTTTTCGGCCTTCCGAGTGGTCTTTTCACAGTTGGTGGGTATATAGTGAAGTCTGTGGGATCGAAATGTGGTTTTTCCACTGATGGTATAGGGAATATGGCACCCGAATAGGCTGCACGATATGTCTATACATGAAAGTAATATTCCACACAATCATTGAGATTGTAGCGGCTCTTCTTAATAGCAATAACAGCATGGTCACATGGGAATCCGTTGATTTGCCATTTGAAACAAGAACATGTACGCCTTGCAATATCAACTGTAACAGATGGTATCGAATGAACTTCAAACACATCCTCATTGGCTTTGCTAACTTGTCAAGACCTACTGTCATTGAACGAATCCATAAGTATTGTTTCGAATGTAGGACAAATAAGCTCATTCCATTTGTTTGCTTGGTCACGCTGTGCAGACATTTGCCGCATCAACTGAGTACGAATTATGTCCACTATTTGAGTGATAGGAAGATTACGTGCTTCTTTAATTCAATTATTAAATGACTCTGCCGCATTGGATGTCATCTCCCCATAACACATGCCCCTGCACAACATCACAAACATTATACAATACGGAATTTAATTTCTTCGAAACTCAATATGAAATTTCACATTGCCACAAAACATAACTGAAAATTCACATCGCTACCATTCTAAACTTGACAAATGGAATACTTTAGGAAACTACTCTTACCTGAAGTATGAATTTGCCCAGTGCTCAGGTGCCAAGTCCTTGAAAAAATTATGTACCCGTTGCTTACCCTCCTCTTTTAATTTTACAAGCTTTTCATGAAACCCTACCATAGTTGGCTCGTAAGCACAGTCACCCAAACTACTTACTAGGTGATTGCTAAATCCATTATCAATTCCTTCCATCTGGTCTCTTAAATTGCTCTTCAAGTATTGTAAGTAATAACCGTGGTGAGCCGATGGGAATACCTTTGGCATAGCTTCTAACAGACTAAGATTATGATCTGAAATAAAAGTAATCTGGTGCTTACCATCAACAACCTTCCCAAGTTCGTGCAAGAACCACGACCAATTGGCCGTGGTCTCGGAATCAACAATCGCAAATGCAATAGGAAATAGACCTACAACACAACACCATTACACAATTGTTCACAATATTCCAAAGTGAATAGAAAACAACATAAAGGAAACATGTCATGTGAATGTTTATATCTACATTGCCCTACTACTATTGTTATTTTTAGATTTGGGTTCGTAAACATCAATGATGTGAACATTCACATTAACGTCCAGTAATGGATAAACTCACATTGGCAGACACAGGTGTGAACATTCACATCAGTGTATACTAATGTGAATGTTCACATTACTAATAATTTCTCAATCAGTCATATTTTGTTGTTGTTCACATCAATGTGTATTGATATAAACATTGACACCAGTGTAAATGTGGAACACACTGTGTAATTGTCTGTCATATGTCCAGACTATGCTGGTCAAGGTAAATATTTATATGAATAGACAGCTAAAAAAAATACTAACCATTGTTTCCATCTTTCGCCGTTGCCGCAAGTAGCTGACCTTTGTACTTTCCTTTGAAGAATGCTCCATCCAAGAATAATAAAAGCCGACAAGAATTGAAACCAGAAATACGCGTAGCGAATGACACAAAGAAACGACAAAACTGTTGACTACTCGCATCATAGTCAATATTGACATAACTCCCAGATTGTAATGCATCACAGCATCCGAATACCACCGCAACTGGTCAAACGATAATGACTGATCTCCATGAATAACAGCCTTTGCTTTCTCCACGCCCAACCATATGACGTGGTAAATCACATCTAACCCATAATCTCTCTTCAAAATAGTCACCACCTCACACGGCCAAGTCAACGGCTTGTCCCTCACAATTTCAGATATGGTATTCGACACCAAATCCGAACTAACTCGCGAATTCTTCGATGTTCGGACATCCGTACCACAACTATGCACATCACTAAACCTCTTGATGTAGAAAAAACCATTTGTTCGTTGGGCTCTACAATGTATAGCCCACAAGTAGCCTCTTTCCTCACACATCGCACACACAGCGGTAACTCTTGTTGTCTTGTTCTTGACATACGTAAACTGAAACCCACATTGGATGGCATACTTACATAAAACATCACGAAATTCTTGTGCCCCTCTAACAAACCGTTGTCCCACATGCGTAATACCATTTGCCCAAGGGGCTGACAACAACACCTTCTCCTTATGGTGGCAAAATCTCCGTAGTGCATCAATTTCTTCTTCAACCCCCACACGCAGCAACCCAGATCTACTTGACTGACCAATATCACTTTTCAACTCAACAACAACTTTTACATGTTGTACCCCCATTGATTTAGCAAGCAATAACATGTTCTGAAATTCTTCCTCATTGTCCAAATCACACCTATTAATCCCAGGTAGCCGACAAAACAATCAAATAGAACCAACAGACAACTCACCTCATTTTTCACCCAAACACTCCACCAAACGCGAATAACACAATATGCGGGCAACATTTATTACAGTTGTATTGCAACCATATGTACACACCAACATCATAAAGGTATCCATCTCCTGTAAAAACACAACAATACAGCAATACAACAATCAACAATAATCCAAAATGATATGAAAATTCACATTGTGCAAAAATTAGATGACTATGTGTACAGTTCAAGTGCTAAATCCATAATTCACATTAACAAGATGTGAACATTCACATTAATACATATACTCTGAATTATATCACCCACATAGAGCCTCATTAAGCAAACAACAAAGTAAAATGAGAACATCCACATTCTTCACATAATATGAATGACCTCCCCTCCACAAGACTACATAAAATGCATATAATTGAACAAATAGAGCATCTGATCCATATCAATCCAAAAATAGAGCATTTGATCCATCATACAAATAAAAACATAAACTAAACATGTATTCATAACCAAAATGATACTAACCTTAATCATGCAATCCTACAATCATCCTGTAACTCGAAAACAACTGATTTGAACTAGTTATACTCTAGAAAATGTGACAACCGAACACCGTCCAATTCGTCGTCTTCACTCGAAAATCACCGAACCATACTACAACAGCAACAACGAAACCCTAGCACATCAAAGCCTTGGAACGAGCATGCAAAATAGAAACGTATCCCTCTGAATTAGAATGATGATGAAAAGCGTAAAGATAGAAACTACCAAAACTAAATCAACGAAAAAACAGGCAACGCGTTATGTGTATTAACACAATATATATATATACGGGCATAATAGTCCAGGTAAAAATATAAAATTAGTAAAATGGACCTTATGGAATAAAAAGAAAAGTATTTGGGACTAATCAGGTTATAATATTCCTTTATGGACCTGATGGGTTATAACAACTCTAAAATGGATTTATCAATAAAAATTTCTTTATTTATTGTCTTTTTTATTATGTAATTTAGTGTGTAGTTCAATTTTAATTGTTTAATCAAATAGCTACTCGACTGTTGTAGTGATGTTGCATAGTTAGTAAGAAACATAATTTGGACATCTTGAAAATTGTGAGATTAGGCCAACCCATATGATTGGGTAATGATCAATGAGTTTCGGTTTGAAGATTGTCGGATCATTGTAGAGGGTCTTACTTTGGAGCGAGCCAATTATTTGAGAGAAAAATCTCTTTTCATAGCAATTGCCCTAGCCGGAGGTGATCAAATTCTTGTTATTGCGTATGTATAATAAAAAAAATGAGATTCTGGAATTGAATAGGCAAGGCAATTTGATGAGGTGCAAGTGTAATTTGTGTAGAGTGCACATCCACTAATTTGGCTCCTTTTGGATATGCACATACCGTGATGCACATATGAAACAACCAATTTAAATAAAACATCCCATATTGAGTGATATATGTACAAGGAAGGATGCACACAAGCCGAACATTGACATGATAATAGGGGACATGAAAAAAATGAAGACATGGGAAGGCACAAACGTACTAGGTGGAGATTATTATTATGTTTTCAGGCCAACATGAATTTGTCTACCCTTTTCAAAAAAAAACAATAAATAAATAAATAAATTGATTTTGGATAATTTTATTAAGTACATCTTGTGTTTTGTGTTGCTCTTTTTGGATTCAATTTGTGCTAGTGTACAAATTA